CGTCTGAGCTCCAGGTTGATCTTCACATTCCCCGTGAAGGAAATACTTGGAGCGCAAGGATGGGATCATCATGGGACGGACACACACAAGAGACGTAAAAACACTCACCCTCTTGTCCCCACATGTCGTAATAGTCTCTGTTTGGGTTGTTGTTGGCTTCTGTCACTGCCCTCTTGGCCGTCCTTTCCACCGACCTTCTGTTCAGCAGCTGTTTCTGCCTCCGCGGCACCACGCCTTTGGCTGCCAGCTGCTCGGCCTTCTGGGCAATACGGCGGAGCTTCTTGGCATTCGGTTGTTGGAAGGCCAGCACACTGGGTAGGGGGGGGGGGAGGTTAACCGATTATGTTAGAGTGGGGTTGTTAGAGGACACAAGAGGCTTGAGATATAAATACTAGATACAGCAACACTATCTATGCTACAGCACATCCTCAGATCCCAGGACACCATTCACTCAACGGTCTCCTGAGCTCCTGTGTGTCTTCTTCACATTCCCATGAAGGAAATACTGGGAGCGCAAGGATGAGATCATCACGGGACAAACACACACTCCTCAACAAACATATCCACATTAAGATATTTTTTAAAATACATTAGGATAGAAAATACAATCCAACTCCACTATCCCAGTGACTAAACCTCTGTTCAGATTCAAGCCGCAATATTGACAACGCTGTGATGATTCGCGTTCATTCTGAGATGGGGGGGTAATGAGGGGACAATATGATCCCCCCTTCTGTACTGTTATCTGAGGCCTTAAGGCAAGGTGAATTCACAGACTGGGACACCAGTATAACGCCGCATGAATCAATATGAATGTACCAAGATGTAAAAACCTGCCATGTGCCAGATAGCTCTCTATAATCTATCTGCATTTGGCACTTGGCAGGTGTTTATTTCACACCCTGTGGACGTCACTAAAACATTTCTACGACGGCAAAGAACTAGTGGTGACAAAGGCCGTCTGTGGAGTTGCCTCTTGTCTTGGCCAAAAAGTTGCACTAGAACACACCTCAAAGACTACAGCCGACGGCCAACCATCACGTACGTTCTGCACATGCCTGAGAGGAAATAACTGTCCATGCCAGCGGTGGGCGGTAGACTCTTGTTATGATACGAGAAAACCATTTTCACACCACTGTCGCTCACTACTCGTATTATAGGTAGTCTACTAATGGAGAATAATGTCTGATAAAAAGTTGAAAATGGTGCTGGCGTTGTCAGCCCTTGATCTTTTAGTGGAAAAAGAAAAGAAGAGGCGGAGGAGACAAATGAGGAGAAACCACACTAATAGGTGAAAGCATGGAGACTACAGCAACATGCTCAAGGGGCTTTTCTGAACCTGTGACGAGAGCTGGAGATAAATGAAACATCTGGACAGCCAATCAGAGAGATCCCTCTCACCGACCGCCTCAACATGTCGAATCGGATGCGATAAGGCGGGGGCCGGCAGGTAGCTCATGGACGTTCCAACTAGGACCGACGATCTCCTTGGTGTGTCAGGGCCTTTACACTTTACATTACCGGTCACTTCGTTAATGTATGTGACATTCACGTATACCGAACCTCTGTGCATGAACGTCTGAGAGGTGACACAGGCTTTGTTTTGCATGAGAGTATAAACACATTCAAAGAAGCACAAAAGTGATGCAACGTGTATACTGACTCTTTAGGTGGTGGAACCAGCGAGTCATGCTGCAGGATGAGGTCTATCCTCAGAGGACGTGAATCTCGCCCTTTCCTCCTCTTCCCCTCGAGAGGTGCAGCTGTAACCAAGACAACAAGAAAGATATTTTACATGAAGCATCAGACACACAGATTAACTTTACATCTTTAAACCATTATGAAGCATTTCTGTCTCCTGTATGATTTTATTTAAACTCATGCAACCCTAAGAATGCTGGACTATTTGTTTGTACTTAAACATCTTTCATCTGTACAAGAAAAGGATTACTTGCCCTTCTGTTCGGGTTTCTGCGGCGGTCCGACATCCAAAAAGAACAAACTGTCGTCTGGTTTCTCGCACAGCAGACCCCTAAAAACACACAAAAGATCATATGAGGTTTATTTAGAGTTCAAACAAACGTCATTCAACGACTCTAGGAGACTCAGGAGATGCCTGCATGTCGCTCATTCTGTTTGTGCCAATGGCCATGATCCATTAATGTTTGATTCACAAGGATGGGAAGAATGCTAATCTCCACAAAGAGAGCCGCTATAAGTCTCTGTATCAGGTCTGATATCGATGTAATTTATCGGACTGATAGCGCTGATAAGGAAAGGTCTTTGGGCCCTTCAAACATTCTCAGCTCGCTCAGTCTCACCTTGAAGACGTTCGGACCATGATGACGTTCAGACGAGACTGAACAGCTCCTTCCATCTGATCAAAAGTACAACTCCTACACTTCAGATTAAAACATTTAATTTGAAAAAACCATAGTCGTTGCTACTTCCTGTTTGTTTCTGCAGCCAGCACACTGTTCAAACAAAGACTGATGTTTTTTTTTTTTGTGACTGGGACTTGTAGTTTGGTGACTACTGAATAGAGACCAGCTGGAGCTACTGATTACATGAGACCAGCTCCCTCAGCTGAACCTACAGCACAACTCAATTGTCTTATCTTACAAGTACTGCTGAACTAAATCCTGGGGAGCAGGGAAAAATTACATCAAAATGAACATTAGTATGGGATTTATTCTACGCTACGGTGTGAGCAGCACATCCTCAGATCCCAGGACACCATTCACTCAACGGTCTCCTGAGCTCCTGTATGTCTTCTTCACATTCCCATGAAGGAAATACTGGGAGCGCAAGGATGAGATCATCACGGGACAAACACACTCCTCAACAGACATATCCACATTAAGATATTCTTTAAAATACATTAGGTTTCAAACCGCATATTACACCCTTGTTTTCTTATCTTACAAGTACTGATGAACAAAATCCTGGGGAGCAGGAAACATTAAATACAAATTTACTTATGTACAAAAAAAACACAGAAACAATAAAATTCAATCAGCCGATACTTCCATATCCAGTGACTATCTTTTCCACAAGTGTTTGATAACTGCATCTGAGGTATCAACTCAATAAATGTGTATCAGTATCTCTCTACAGATCCATGATAGATTTTAAGAAAGATATCGGCCTCTGAGTTCTTATTTCCCTGTATCGTTATCGGTTTCAGACCCAACACATGTTATCGGTCGGGCCCTGATCCAAAATAAACACAGCGTGCAAGCCCACAAAAAAACAACATTTGTAACTAAACATGAACATTTATAAAATGTGTTAGAAAGAGGGAGGTGTTGAGGGGATATTAATAATAATAATTTGCTCTGACTCGACTCATTAAACATGTTGGACGACTTTATTTATTCTACACGGAGTCGACGGTAACAACGGGACATAAACCGTAAAAATCCACCGGAAGTCCTGAATCAGAGACATTGTCAGGTGTTAAATATTTTGTAATGAAGTTAAACATGAACCACGTGAAGTATGACAGTGTTTCTCCTCCGCATTAAAGAAAAATAAACCCACCCCGTGGTCCTCTCCTGGTGTCTGACGTCCTGTAAAAACTCGTCTATGTCTTGAACGTCGCTGTGTTTGTTCCAGTTCTTCTTCTTATTCTTGTTCACACGTTTTCTCCGACCGCTGATCGAGTCCCCGTCGTCTGAAGTGGACTTTAACTTCATGAAACCTGGCTGCGAGGCCACCACGCGTTTCAGCCTCCTGGCCGCCATGTTGGGAAAATGAGCGAAGGAAGGGAAACACGTTTCTTCTTCTTTGGTGCTGCAGTGACGGCGACGGCGCCACCTGCAGGAAGGACAGGACTGCACATGCTGCCTAATTATACATACATCAGTTTATCACATATAATCCACCTAAAAGAAACATGTTCTTATCTTTAACAAAGTGAGTGTAGTTAACATTTAAAAAAAAAAAAATAGGCGTAAAGAATTAAAAGTAGAAGCAGCGATTTTCTCACTTGAAAATGTATAATGCTTTATAAAAAACTAACTGTAAAGCACATTATCACATGTACACACACACACACACACACATACACACATCACCCTTACTTCTTATTGTGCAATAATCAACTTGGTAAAATTCCCCTTTAATAAATCATATTTCTTTCCTGAAGAAAACACATTTCTTACCTAAGTTGCAATATTTACATTTCTGGCTGTGCAATATATAAGCTATTTATAATTATTTACTTGTCCCTTCAAGCTCCTTTTTCTTACCGTGTTGTAAACATCACCTGCTGTAAATATATTATAAATACAAACTGTCCATCTTCTTATTGCTCTTATGGCTGCCTGCACTTAAGGTGAAGCATTTCTAATCACGTAGTAAAATGACAATAAAGGTTTTCTATTCTGTTCTGTAAATAAACAAACGTTTAAGTGTTTCCAACATGTATAAATAATATATTTTTTAAAAAAAGGCTTGATGTGTTTATCACAGACGACGTGGGAAAAAAAATCATCCGTGTCTGAAGAGTAAAGAAGACAAAGGCAAAAAGATATGCAAGGCTCTCTGCTCCGGTACAGAAGTTAAAAAGTCTTTATTCATTCATGGCTACAGGGAAAGTGAAACATGTGAGGCACACTGATGTCATTTAAAAACGGAACTTTTATCATGTGTTATATAATGTTTACAAATGCGATCGATAAGCGATTAGTGAAGTCTTTGTAGAGATTTTAAACTGTTTTTCATTGTATTTAATTGAATGAGCGAACTCACACCAGGTGAATTCACTTACCTGTGAATTTAGATTTGTGTTGGTGACATTTGTCCATTTTATTAAAAATTAAAAATACACACAAGTGTCTTTCTGTGTTTTATCTCCCCAGAGATTAAACAATATATTCGTCCTAAATAAACCCAAAAGTATTTTTTTTATTTGTGTGTTTATCGTGCAGCATGCCTGTTACATGTTTGTCCAGATGCATCATGGGAAACGTGTCTCCTGTTGCTCTCATGTTTTTTTTCTTCATTTTTTTCCCTCCCTTCATTTTATTGCGAGAACAACGCTTTAGAGACTCAACAATAAAGTCCCATTTTCAAGCTCGGATCGTCCACTGAGTTATCAAAGGTGGGTATCAGTATTTTAATAAAGCTTCACTCTATCATTTGGTGTTAGGTTAGTTCCTGGATGGATGTTTTTTAAGCGTTTATTCGGTGAAAAAGAAAAACGCAGAGCAGTCGAGCTATTCTCTGCTCTCTCGGGGAGTCGGGGACCGAACAGGCGTTTTGGCGATCCAGTTGAATTTGACTCGGAAATGCGCCTAAAGTGAGGGGTCATCTGACAAAAAATTGTTCACCAATCGATCCCCTAACGTTTCTAGTTTCATCCTAAAAAAGTATTTTCACCTCTCACGCCGCGGTTTTTACACACTTTCGACGTTTTTTATCGTCACCTTCGTCGTTTTCTACAACGATTTTCCTTCCCGTTTACATTCTCTTAGCCAGCCGTTAGACTTGTTTTTAGACACCGGGCAGCAGGGGCGGGCGGTGTCGCTTGGTTTCAGCCGAAATAGCTCATTCTGAATAAAAAAACTAGGCTTGTTCGCAACCGGGGCGTACACTGTGAAGAAACGAACGAACCGTAGCTCAATGCGCAAGGGGCGGGGTTTGCCCGGTAGAAATCGTGCTGTGATTGGTCGAGAGGTTAATAATATCCCGCCTTAGACACTCATTTAGAGAGTGTGATTGGTTTACGTAGTAAAGAGCTCTGCTGTGATTCGCTGGCCTTGCCGTCTTCTTTGTTTTTACTCAGGTTGTTGCATAAGCTGCCTGGGACACATTCAGAAAATAAAAATAAAATCCGGCTTCTGATGTTAATTGTAAATGTAAATAACACATCCAGAGTTACCATGGTGATTCAACAAAATAGATTATATTTAAATCCATCTGTATATTTTTTTTAATCTATATTCTTCACCTTTGCATTCAGCAGATAAACTATTGCACACGTCTCTCAAATTGTTTCACTTGAACAAACTTTGTCCTGTGTCCTCAGGTAATCTTTAGTAGCCATGGCTCGTACCAAGCAGACTGCCCGTAAGTCCACTGGAGGCAAAGCCCCACGTAAACAGCTGGCCACAAAGGCTGCTCGTAAGAGCGCCCCGTCCACTGGTGGAGTCAAGAAGCCTCATCGTTACAGGTGAGACAAGGGGAGAGCGCTCAGAGGACCTGTGGTGTGTGGGATTAAAAGTTCTGATAGATGAGAGGGGGCTAAACCATGAAAAAGAAGTGATAACATTTTAAAATGAATTCTAAAAATCCATCTTTCATCCTTTTTATGCTCTTCCTCTCCAGGCCTGGTACCGTGGCTCTGCGTGAGATCCGTCGTTATCAGAAGTCCACTGAGCTGCTGATCCGCAAGCTGCCCTTCCAGCGCCTGGTGAGAGAAATCGCCCAGGACTTCAAGACTGATCTGCGTTTCCAGAGCGCAGCCATCGGAGCTCTGCAGGTCTGCAGCGCTCACTATTAAACATCTTTTATTTAATATCATATTTTATTATTCATACTAATAAGTCTTTTTGACTCTGCAGGAGGCCAGCGAGGCCTACCTGGTCGGCCTGTTTGAGGACACCAACCTGTGCGCCATCCACGCCAAGCGCGTCACCATCATGCCTAAAGACATCCAGCTGGCACGTCGTATCCGCGGGGAGCGTGCTTAAAACGTTTTTTAATTTGTTGTATGCTATTCTCTTGTCTGTCCAGCACTCTTTACTTCCTCTATACTTAGTTAGTAGTTTGGGTTGAGGTTCTATATCTATCATCTGATCGTGATAACCGTAAATTGTGTGATCATGTCCACTTTGGTGCTACTAGAAGCAAAGTTTCCTTAGAAATATCATATCACAGTCACACTCCTCACTCTCTAGCTCAGAGGGGACGCCTTCTCTTCACGAGGAGGTTGTCTGTGCAAGTTAAGCAAGATGGTGCGTGAGATGAATTTGACATAGGACACAGCCTTTAAGTTGAGACATTTCCACCTTCAGTCAGACATATACATCGATTAAACTGATCTGCAGTCTTGTTTTATTTTTTCAAATAGATATTTGTTGTAAAGTAGTGGTTCTTTTTTTTAATTATTATTACAATAATGGTGTATTTCTACTGTTACTGTTTAATGTGTCCAAAATCTAAAGTTTGATTCTGGTTGTCAGTAAGAAGAAACGTCATCGTGCTTTGATGACTCTGCAGTTTTTGTCTGACTTCACGCGGCGTATATGTAGCAGACCTATGTTGAACATATTTTGATTTCCAGCCACGTAACTTTGTCAAGGTCACGTTTGACTTTTCGTTCCTCTCTCAGGTTGATATGACCGCTTTTTTTTTCTACTGTGTTTTGGTTTTGTTTTCAGGCATTTTTTTAAAAAGCTAAATATTTGTACTCCTGAATTCACAAACAAAAATAATAAATGGATCCTTGTGGTTGAATAAAGCTGTGCGAGTGGATTTCTGAATGGAAATAATAATTTATTATTTATCAGGGAAAATACATGTCGACTTAGACTTTCTTTATTGTCATTCAAACTTGTACTTTACAGTGCAGATAAGAACGAAATTTCGTTGCATTTGGCTCGTTGTAGTGTAGGATAAAAAAAAGCAGCAAGTATTTACATCGAAAAATAAGGTGCAGATATAAATAGATATAAAAAGAAAAGCTATGAGTGTAGACATTATTACATGTGATTGAAGTGCCACTGATGCCATGGCTCATTTACAGACGTGATGAAATAACACGACACAACATAAAAACAAACTGCTGCAGACTGTGGCTGTCATTTCTGATGGACATAATTTGTCCATTTTGTTTGTTAAATTGTCAGTGAGTTATTTTATGGTTTAGTCCTGAAGACTGTCCCGTTGTTGTAAATTTGTTGTTTTGTTCGTTCTTCCTTTTACCATGAAAAGGATGAAACTTAGCTGTTGTTCTAATTCCAGTGTCATGACGAGAATTTCATGCACCTCGCTGAAGTGTTTGAAAACAGGAGGCCATAAAATCTTATTTCTGGGGTCAGACCTGCGACGACAAGTGTGGGAAGTTTATACTTAACAATTGTGAAGTGTCCATATTGTTCTGTATACTCGGAAGAAGACTCATTTTCATAAGCCGGCGTAATTATTACCTGCAGAGTGTTTGACTCTGACTGTAGAGGAACTTCAAGGGTGGATGCAAAACACCGCAGTGTGTAGAAACTGTGTCTGCAATATGTTGAAATGTCCTGCAAGGTGTGTGTAATCCTCGTCAGCCGGCAGGTGTGCATTTCTCAACATATTACATAGATGCGTAATGCTAATAAGCCTATATTTATTAATGTGCCTAACTTAATCAATCAATCAATAAATAGTTAAATTCTAAGACACATTCAGGGATCTGACACAAGTTTTCAATTATTCTTTCCTCAAAGTTAATGACGTGTAGAAAAACTTTCCACGTGTAATTCTGATTATTAGAGCGTTTTTAAAAACTCATTACACAAGTTTACACGTTTAGAAAATAAAAGAAAGAATAACTTTTACGATGCCTCGTAACTTTCTGCCCGATGGTAAATAGAAGTGTTAATAAGTGCGTAACACGCGGAAGCATTAACAGGTGTTGTTAGGCATTAACTGATTTACCTATTTATCTCTTTGTTGAGTTAATACACCTTTGTTTGTTAACCTGAGAAAAGAAGTGACCACGGATGTGTTGTGGTCGTACTGTTGCATTGTGGGACTCATGATTGACGCGGCCGCCATTTTCCCGCTGGACGCTGCTTCCCATTGTGGAAACGAAGAAGAAAATAGAGACAAGCGAAACATTTCTCACCACTTCTACTCGCTTTCCCCCCACAGGTAAGCCTCCTCAAACATGCCCCTGTGTCTATGTGGCAACTTTGTATTTTTAAGTTTTTGTTTTGATGGTTTGTCGGGTCTTTTAAAGGTGATAAACCTTGATTTTTGCCGTGTATTACAATAACAAACAGTGGAAACGACGGTGAAACGCAGCCGTTACTGCAGTCGTTCAGATGAGGGGGAAATTCTGTTTCAAATTATGCGCCGGTTCAGCTCGGTGCTGCTCAGCGGCGAGAGCCCGTTCAGCTCCCCTAGTCCTCTCTGTCTGTTCACTGAAATGTCTTCTGTCTTGTTGTGTCCTTCCCCGATACACTGGTATTGCGGTTATTTATAAAATATGAGTTGTTTATGTGCTCCTCCTTTGCTCGTCTGCCCCGGGTCTTTATCCCGTTTGCGCATCAACCCGCCGCCATCATCAGAGCGGTGAAGGCGGGCCTAGCAACAGTAGAATGCAGCTGCAGAGCCCGCCCACTTTCACAACTCTGTATGCTGATTCGTTCAAACGTTGCATTTTGTGTGACGTGTTTTTCTCACAGCCAATAATCTCGTCGTTGCCCTTTGATCGATGTTTTGTCTGTCTGAGTGTGATAGGGAATATCTTGTATGTTTACATGCCCAGAAAGTTTACTTTTCCAAGTTTCATGTTCAGATTTAATACTTCATGACATAAGTAATACTTGAATAAAAACATACTACAAACATTGCCATACTGTAGGCAATGTTAATAATCTTTATTCAAGCAGTGTCTTATCAAGAAGAATGTAGTTAAATTGTATAATGTACATGTCTGGTACCATGTTTGCATTTTGTGTCTTAAATGCATTCATGATCACATGTCTGAGTAATAAGGTGCCAAAAAGAAATCAGAAAATGTCTAGAACTCTTGTCCATGAAATATGCTGTGAAGATGCATTTCCAATTTGAATTTAAATTCTTTATTCTTCTTTCTTTCCCCCTATCTTTTTCAGGTAATCTTTAGTAGCCATGGCTCGTACCAAGCAGACTGCCCGTAAGTCCACTGGAGGCAAAGCCCCACGTAAACAGCTGGCCACAAAGGCTGCTCGTAAGAGCGCCCCGTCCACTGGTGGAGTCAAGAAGCCTCATCGTTACAGGTGAGACAAGCAAATACAGTTCATCACATTATCTCAATCACTAGATTTTTAGAGCAGTACCTTTCTTGCTTTGTGTACTTAAGCCAATTTAAATGTTGATGATTCAAAAAAGATATCATATACACATTAACTTACATTTCTTTGTGTATTGTGAAGGCCTGGTACCGTGGCTCTGCGTGAGATCCGTCGTTATCAGAAGTCCACTGAGCTGCTGATCCGCAAGCTGCCCTTCCAGCGCCTGGTGAGAGAAATCGCCCAGGACTTCAAGACTGATCTGCGTTTCCAGAGCGCAGCCATCGGAGCTCTGCAGGTCTGTATTAATACACTTTACAAATCATGAGCTTATATTTGACTCAGTTAATCTATTAATCAAAACATCAAGTCTATAAAGTGTCGCAACTAATAATTATTCCCTCTCTATAGAAGTCGAAGCAAAATGCATTTATGCTCTACTGATGACTGTTACATTTCCTGTGCTCCCCCTCTGCAGGAGGCCAGCGAAGCCTACCTGGTGGGTCTCTTTGAGGACACCAATCTGTGCGCCATCCACGCCAAACGTGTCACCATCATGCCCAAAGATATCCAGCTGGCACGTCGTATCCGTGGAGAACGGGCCTAGACGCTCTCTCCTCTTTATCTTTCCCTTTTCACCCCATCATGCCCCTCACCCTTATCCCCCCTCCCTCTCTCCCGCCCTGTGTTAGTAGTGTGTAGAGGGAAACTGATTATATTATGGATAAAGTGTATAGTCGTGTTTTCTTAGTGCTCTCGGCAGCAGACTTCTAGGGTACTCTCTTTTTGTGCATGAACCAAAGCTTTGGTGATGAGATCTTCTCAAGCATTTCTCATAGTTTGCACTGTTTCTAATCAGAGTCTGTGCTGTTAAGGTGGATTTCTGGATGGTCAGAAAGTCTAGTGGATTAGAACAAAGTGAACGCCTGGAGGGGACAGACGGGAGGAGAGGAAGGGTTTTTATCTGCTGGGAGGCTCTAGTCTCTTTCTGCAGCAGGGTGCTAGAAGAACTTCCCTGATCCTCTTCTCCTGCTCTCTAACCTCTGCCTGCCTCGCCCAGAAATGAGGGTGCATGAGTGTGGGCTCTGATCACCACAGTCAATTGTATACAATCCATCAGCATCTTTGGATTTGCTTTATGATTACCATATTGATCTTTGCTGTAATTTGTCATGTTGGTGTTTTTTCCTTTCAGATACTTCTCACACAAGATGTTTTTTTTCACTTCAATCTATTTGTGGCTGACATGGAGATGGGGGGATGAATGGGATTAAAACAACCGCAGAGAACAAAAAAAACAGACTTCAAGAGATTTTTCTACTGATATGCAAAGCCACTGACTCGTTTGTTTCGCACCAAAGTTTGATCCTCTCGTCGACACTCTTTCCAAACCGACACAAGAGTTTAACCTCGTCTGAGTGTTTTTTTTTGCTGGTGTTAAAATTGATCTCCTCTAATAATTAAGCCCAAGAGTTTGAGTACAGTGTTGGAGAAACTTTTTTAGCCGTGTCTCATTTTATAATGACGAACCTTTGTATGACAAAGGTTCATTTAGGTTTGTAATGATCTCTAAAAACCAAAAAGTGTGCAATTTTTTAAAAACATAATAACTGATTAAAATGTGAAAAACTATTGTAAATGAGTGTGACATGACTCATCGTACTGGTCATGTTTTCTGCATACGTCCCCCCTTTGCTTCTGTTTTTTTCTCCCCTCCAGATCCGTTGATCGTCTGTATACCGTCTCTCAGGTTGACTCTTCACCTTTATCACTTAATTTTTATTTTTTTGCTCAGTTTGATTTTCTTTTTATTTGAAATGTTGAGGATAATGTTTCAATCAAACACTGTTTGTAATTTCCAGATTTGTCATATAAGGTGGTAATAAATGGATGTTACACACACTTTACTGTTTCTGTGGTTCCTCTTTTTTTGGCTCTTTTTATTGAAAGGACAGCTGAAGACGGACGGGAAATGTTGGGAGGAGAAACTGGGGCAGACATGCATCAAAGAGTCAAAACCAAATCTGGGACCGATGGGCTGAGGCTTGTAGCCCCTGTTAATGGGGCGCCTGCTTCACCAACTGATCCTGGAACGTTTCTTACCATTGACCCTTGACCTTATCCTTTTGCCTCACAAAGCAGGACAGAACAGGGTCCCTGCCGAAGACCAAACTAGAGTCGGGTCCATAAATTCCTAGACTTTGGAAAGTACAATTGTTATTAGCAGACTGTCTTGTTTTGTACAGTGTGTATGGTAATTCATATCGATGACGTGCTGTAACTTATAGCATTTATTTGCAGACGTGTACACACCTATTGTACAAATGAGAGAGTGGCTAAGCAGGAAGGCGACGTTCAAACAACTGACCTCAGCTGAATATACTGTGGACCAATCACAACCAGAAATCTCAACCCAAGACCCTGCAGACTGAGCTATACTGCCACCCCCAAGTCAATAAATTACATATTGCAAGTTATCATTGGCTGGACCGGATTGAGTTGTAATTAGTTACTGTGTGATTCTCATTGATTTGCTCTATTGAAGTGAGATAAACGAGAGAGTTGGTTTGGTGTTAATGCTACGGGGATCATATCCAAAGCGACCCTGCTCATCATCTTGTCCTTTCTTTAATCCTTGGTCATACCTGAGCTCAAGTTTCATATTTTTAGTGTCAAACATCTGCATAGAGCGACACCGTGTGGCTGTCATGGTGAACTACAACGGTCCATGACAAATACGTAGTTGCGAAGTTTGATATTTTCAGGAGTGAATATGTGAAAACAGCTCTAGAAATAATTGTAAGATACACTTGTATGTCTAAATTTACAGTTAAGACATTGGTACAAACTGCATCTGTGGAAAGTCTTTTCAGTGAAGAGCTAGTGCAGAAGTAAAAAAAAAAGAAGAGAAGAGATCTTTCGAAATGTCAGCTATTTAGAATTGTTCCTGTGTGATGTTGTGGTCCTAAGTCACCACTAAGGGGAACTTCCCCATAAACACAAAGCATCTCTCATTGTTTTCTTATAGCCTTCTATCTCCACTCTACTCTTCATGTCTCCACCCATCAGCCATGATAAAAACCTTGTTTTTCTGTCCAGGGGGAGCTGGAAGACACCAGGAATGACAGTCAGGACAAGAAAGAGAGCAGAGAAGCTGCAGCCAAGAGGAGCTCTGCATCGATGGCCCCAGAGCACGAAGCTTTTTCAGAAAAGAGACTGTACGGACTGAACTTAAAGAGCAGACAACACACACGTCAGTACTTGACCGAGATGTGCGCTGGCTCCCTCGTGTGGCCCTTTTAGGTAATGACACACATGGGAACACGCTTGAAAAGCACAGTTCACAAGTATATAAGTATATAAAGAATCATAGATAAGAGGGAGATAGGGTGATCGAAGATGTCTCCAAGATCTAGCAATATGATAGGTTTAGGATGAGGGAGTGGAGCAGGGCTATTGGATAGATGTGACCAGGTGATGATTACATGAAAAAGAGCATTTGTGGAGCAGTGATGTGACACAGTACGAGCATGTAGGATAAAAAGTCTTCCTGACTGAACTTTCCCTGGAGCTTCATTAAAAGCCTTTTATACTTGACAAACCATCCTGAGCAAACTGTCTGTGCCCCCCTCTGAATACATCAGTGCCACAGATGGGACACCCCAATCAAAATAGTCTGGACCGGCCCTCGCTCCTACAGGTGTAGCAACTAGCAATTATCTGGAGCAACTTTCAGCTGCTGACATTTTTTATTCAGGTGGTTAATCTGCAACACTACAGAGGTTATAAGATGGCTTCTGGCTTTGATTGGGGGCCTGCTGAATTCAAATAAATGGCTCAATCAGAATCGGATATAGCACTTTGTGTAAAATGAAAACTAAGAGTGTCATTGCCACGGAGATGTTGACCAATCGGCAACACCTCCTAGCTGCAGCTAACCAACCTGTGAACACCTGAACCTCATGTGCTGTCGCTATCACTGGATCAAAACTGAAAGCATGCACATTGAGTGTGTGCATTTCCCTCTGCAAGATAGAATCTGTAACACGTAAGAAGCCGAATCTTCACTGAGTTGTCGTGAAGGATTTCAAGCCCAGCTTTGAAAGTTTTACTCTGATCATGTGCGAGCTGAAAACAGACTGTGGGTCATGAGAGAATAAATAGAAACAATTGCGGCTCTTCAGAGAACATGCAGTCTATTCGGTGTTCAGCTGTGTACAAAGTTGGGTTAACCACATGCAGACCTGAGTGGAGGGGAGGGTGAAAAAGGTGCTGATGAGTTTCACATGAATATTGAAAGTGCTTCCTTTTAAAGCTAGCGTGCACATGCGACAGAAGAAGGCAACGGTGGCAGTCAAACGACAAGTTACATGACAGCAAAATCATCCGGATTACGCCAGAAATCTTCATGAGGATGTATTTATGGGCAGCGTGACAGCTTCCTTTTTTAGCCCCGTTGGTCTGTTGAGCTCTGGGGCAACAGTTGCATGGTACAGAAAGGAAAGAGTTCTCGAGAGAAAAGATTGCAACATGACGAGAGATGTGCCAATAGTGTGAATGAGAAAAGACGCATGACAGCCCAACACATGTGAGTATCAAACTGGCTCAGTACAGTCAATGTACTAAAAGTCTGAATTTATTATGATTCCTTAATGATAACTAAAAATGAATTGTCCAAAAAGCTTCACCTCGTTATGACCGTGCATGCATATGTTTGTGTGCAGGGCAGTTCACAGGTCATTGAACGGCACCACAGCCATCCCATGGGGGCGCAGCAGGAGGAGGCTGTCCCTGCTGGAGCAGCTCAGGGGGTGTCAGGACGCCTGGTGCCCCGGGGCCCCCTGGGATAGAGAGGGGGCCCACCATGCGCTCTGTGGAACACCTGCTGGGGTGAGCTGTTCTCCTCCTTACTACAAAATACTATTTATTTTATTTTATCCACAATTCAACTCAAAATACTGGCATGTTCAAACATTTGAAATGCACATAGTTGGCGTAGTGCAAACCTTCACTAATGAATTTTTCAGCGTTTTTCTCATTGGAAAAGCTGAAGCCGTCATGCTGGTTACATCATAATCCACAAGCAATGATCCCCACATTGTGCCTGAAACATTACTGCAATATGATCGTGACAAAAATCCTAAATCCATGCCGTCCCATGAATCTAATCAGCTGATCCTACTGGACTAGTGGTCTCGGACTTTGTCATCTTTCTACCTCTGGGCAGTGGTGATTCTAGAGTCTGTTGGGGCCCCAGGCAAGAAATAATTGGTGGCCCTACAACTCGCATTTATCACCATCATGTCCGCCATTGTCCCGACGCTTACTCCTCTTCCTCTTTTTTCCTGTTTCTCTCTCCTGAAGACAGATAATCCCTCTTCCTCATTTTTCCTTGACTTTCATTGACAAACGAGAGTGAGTGCTTGTCAGATGGGGCCCCCTTAGGGAGGTTTCCGACTGTCATTGCAAAATTTGCACATTTTTGGGCAACTGCTATGGTTTGAAGTTTGTGAGCCCTCAGGAGCCCCCTATTGGTCTGGGGCCCAAAGCAGACAAGCAGCCCCTCTGCCTCTGGGTGATCAATAATGTCCTCTCCACCGTGTTAACTGGCATTCATATATTTCCCTCTCTGTCACTTTTTCTTTCTCACTTTCCTTTTTAAATCAGAGGATGTGTTGTTGTTTTTTGTGCTCATCCAGGCCGTCACTCCTCTCACCGTCCCCGTCTCTCTGCATTCTGGGATCCTTTCATTAGTTTTTACCCACGTTTCTTTCATCCTGTGAAGTTGTTCAGTTTCCTGCTTACTGTTTGAAGGTGATAAATTATGCTTCGTGTCGTCAGCTGTGCGTCCTTACTGACCTTTGTTAAGTGGAGTTTTATCACTTGTGTGTCGACTACAGAGGGGAAATTAGTGACTCACTTTATCTGGTTAATGGTAAATGGACTTGAGCTTGGTTATTTATTTATTATTGTTCTGACTACTCAAAGCACTTTCACACCGCAGGTCACACCTTCACATTCACACACTGATGGTAGAGGCTGCTGTGTAAAGAGTCCATCAGTATTAACTAATCCCATTCATACACATTTATACACCGCCAATGAAGCAGTGGGAGCAGCTTGGGGTTAAGTGTCTTGCCTAAGGAAACATCGGACATGTGGCTGCAGGAGCTGAGGATCAAACCGACTCTTCCAACTCAGTCACAGCCGCCCCACTGATCCACAGCCGCTCCCCAAGAAGACAATCAAACATACTGCAGGGATGTGTATTTGCTTCATTTAGTGTTCAGCCTACATAAGGATATTTTTCTAAAGAATCATTGACATGCAAGCCTGACGCCTCTGTGACAAAAAAAAAAAAATTAGTTCCCTTTTTTATAGACCTCTGATAACACAACACACTTCTTTTGGCGCTGAATGCAGAAGTCGCGTTAGGTTAAAGCATGAGCAGAGCAGGGAAATGACATGAACTGGACATGAACTGGATACAACTGCTGAAAGGACAGAATGTGAGTACGTCAGAAAATACTTTTTTACAGTTGTGTGAAGGACAGCGGTGCAAATACAAAACTCTGGAGCAGCCAAACGCAGCCCTGTGAGTATTCAGTGACAGGAGAAGGTATCAGGGTTTGTTTGTTTTTACAGCAGAAGAGATCAGAGCTTTAAGGTGTGAAACTCTGCACCTGATTGTTTTATGTCTCCGCTGACCTGCTGCTTGTCTGTGTGCATCTGAGTGTGTGTTAAAAGTTTGGAGACCTACTGTGAACCTGTCTCTATTTCTGCGCACACAAAGCATGAAAGCCACATCCTGTGTGTGTATTAGTGTGTTCTCAGGATTGCATGTGCTTTTGTTTTACCCAAGTTCATTCTGTCTCAACCAACTGCTTTTCTGTTTGAGCCGCTTCCAAGAAGGCGAAAGAATCACGAGTTAGACATTTACAACAAAAAGCAGAATCTTTGCAGAAATGTAGAGCAGCAAACACTGACGATCATGTTGACTTTTATTTGTATCTTTCTAAAGTCTTAAAGGCAGGGTTGATAATTTCCTCCAGATCCACTTCTTAAGATTTTGGTTCAAACTGTCTTTAGGTCCTGACAGAAATTAATAACTCATGTTCTCTGAAAAGGGAACAAAGAAAATCTGTCATCTGTAGCAGTTTGTAAGCCTGTAAAAACTTCAACCAATATCTGCAACGAGATACCAATCTGATGAACCAATCACACGCCTCCTTGTCTCCCTGCTCGTTCTCTACCTCTTACGTGGACTAGCCCACACTTAAAGCATGAGCTGAGGTCCGTTTCTGGACCAACGGTGCTTGTGTAAGTGAGGGGCGTGGCCTTTGAGGGAGCACAGAGGGGAGGGGGTGGGTGCAGACGGAGCACTGAGGGAATGCTACTTTCAATATCATGCTAGTTTTAGAAAATTACCAACCCTGCCTTTAAGGGGGTGTGGGTACATGTTTTTTATTATTTATTAATGAGGGTTCAGTGTGCAATGACATTGATCATTTATAAGACATCAATAAAACTTCACTTAACAAAGGACCGTAAGGAAGCACAGCTGACGACACAAATGTGTTTAACGCTGTAGGAAACAATAAGATTAAATATTAATGGATATGTGTATAATCGGTTGCATGCTTGGAGGCATTGCTGGAGCTGATCCCAGCTGTCATTGGACTAGAGGTGGGGTTGGACTGTTCACCAGCCAATCACAGGGCTGACATATAGAGACAGATAACCAGACACACTCACATTCACACCTACAGGGATATAGAGTCACCAGTTAACCTATTGAACATGGGAGGAAGACACATGCATGGGGAGAACATGTTAACTCCACACATACAGCCTGCTGTCAGATGGGGATTTGAACCAGGAACCTCCTTGCTGTGAGGCAACCATGCTAACCACTCCACCACCGCGCCATACACATAGCTGCATTATAAAGTAACAAAGATTGATATGAAGGGGGATCAAGACTTACCTTGAAAAGTCAAGCTGTCTCAAAGCCATCTTTGATGCAACAGGTGTTTCAGCTTTTATAACATGAGAAATGAGATAAATAGTCTTGATGAAATACAAACACATGCACAAACAGGATCCTGTGGACATGCACTGATGGAGAGATGTCAGATTGAGGGGGCTACACATGAAAGAGTAATTGGAGCAGTTGGGGGTTTGGTGTCTTGTGTAAGGGTCCAGCTACCAGATCACTTTCCACACTTGGTCCGCACCGGGACTTGAACCTGCGACCGTCCTGTTCCATAACGACAGTCCCTACAGGCTGAGCTACTGCCACTGGTTCTCAGTCTGTGTGAGCCCAAAGTCATTTCAGTTTTACGAGTGGGCAAACAACCCTGCAGCTTTTATAAACTGTGGAAAATTTACAGTTTCTGACTTTCAGTTTTCTCTATGACCTGTCAGCATGCTTGTTTTTTTTAACAATGTTTCCAGTCTTGTCATAGAAACCATGACATAGTGTGCTTTCTGCACCACAATAAGTTGGAATCCTTAAGGGTGAATTCAAGAGAAAACGTCTTCCTGCTCGACGAGTTTCTGTAACACTTGAAAAATGAGTCACTGTGTCTCCCTCCAGAGTTTCCTGGTTGTGCGGGACTCTGCGGCGTCTCAGGCCAGCCTGCTGTGTGTGTCTGCGGGCGGAGAGGATGAAGTAGTTATTGATTATAGCATCGAAAGCAAAGGAGCAGGTAATTGCATGCCAACACCTACTTCTTTCTCTATCTTTTTTCATGTGTGTGTGCATGTAGGCGTCTGAGTCAGTCACTGTGTCACTTTTAGTGGTTACTGTATGAGTCATTGCTCTCTCTCTCTCGCACACCAGACTACAATAACTCATTTAAGTCATAAACTTTTTTTGTGTTTAACTTGAACATGGCAACAACAGAAACCTATTTAAGTCTGTCCAGGTGGGAGCAGGTAGTCTGGCACTCACCTTCTCAAATGCTCTCAAAATGCTAATTCTGTTTCCTTTTATTGTGAAATAACTTTAAGCAACACTTTGCAGATTTTTACTTCACTGCAGGTTCATGTATTGTAGATTAAATCATTATCTAAGTGCCTCTGCACAAACTCACCGCTAAGCCATCAGGCGCCCCCAAACAAGTCTATCAGGAAACACAATAAAAATCAAGATTATCACTAAGGATTACACTAGAGCTTGACCGATAAATCTGCAAGCCGATAATATCGGCCGATATTAACATATCATGTGACTAGCGTATCAGCTAATTTTACCTCTGATATGCTGATATAACTATGTTAATAACCAAGTAATTTAAGTTTATTTTTTATTTGTATTTAGTTTTTTATTCATATTTGTTAATTTCTAATTTAAAGGCCGGGTTGGTAATTTCCTCGAGATCCATGTTTTAAGATTTTGGTTGAAATTGTTTTTAGGTCCCGAAAGAAATTAATAACTCATGTTCTTTAAAAAAGAAACAATGAAAATCTGTCATCTGTAGCAGTTGTAAGTCTGTAAAAACTTCAACCAATGTCTGCCACGAGATACCAATCTGACGAACCAATCACTCCTCCCTGTCTCCCTGCTCGTTCTCTACCCCTTGCGTGGACGAGCCCACACTTAAAACATGAGCTGACGTCTGATGGAGTTTATACTGTGAGTTTACTTACCGCTGAATGAGACATGAGACGACGTAGTTTCTGCAAAATGCAAGAGATGAGCTGAGGTCCACTTCTGGAGCAACGGCGAGTGAGGGGCGTGGCTTTAGATGGAGCACAGAGGGGAGGGGGTGGGTGTAGACGCAGCACTGAGGGAATGCCACTTTCAAAATCATGCTAGTTTTTTTTAAATGACCAACCCTGCCTTTAAGTTTTTTATAACAGCATTAGAGGGCAATAAACCGCAATAAATGTGTGTATTTCTATATCTATCTATCTATAAAGATTGAAGATGGATCCAAGAAAGATATCGGCCGATAAATCGATATTTGCACGGACACAGTTCGTAAAAATGTCCTCCAGAGAGCTTTGTACTATATCTCTCTTCAGTTTGTACTTTTATTTTGTCAGAGTCTTTTTACAACCTCTGGACTTCTGAAGTACAAAAAGTGTGAACTGTAGCAACCTCAGCTGACGTCACCAGAGACCCTTCAGACCGGAGGAAACGTGCTCAGCACCAGTAACTGCACAGCATCAGGAAATAAAAGTCTAAAGGCTAGTGAAGCTGGCGTGAAAATAAAACTAGATGACACAGTCACACTTCTCTTATTTAGAAGTCCCCTTTGAATCTTCCTGGTTGAAGCTGTAGTTTCCAGGAGAGTATTTTCTGACACATCTTGACTGTAACTCTGCCTCCCCCCCCACCCCCCCTCTCTCTTTCTCTCTCTGTCAGTGTTTCAGCTGTCTGAGTCTCGTCTCTGTTTCGCTGACCTCGCTCAGCTCGTGCTCTTCTACTCTCTGACCAGGTAAGGACCCGATGTATCTCTGATGCAGATATTTAACATAAAGCTACATTTTAAATATGTTTGCAGTTTATTCTTGTGGATCTCAAGTATATAAACTATTGTAAGAAAGAAGAATGTAGGAGCTGCATTTAAGTGCATTTTACTTGCATTGTTTGTTCATTTTTTCTGCATTGAATGTGTTATACATTGTTAGTGCTCAGCCTCTGCAGGGGGGTGAGGCGCAGGCCTGTAAGTTAGTGTGCAGACAGCAGACAGGTTACAGCCAAGCGGCAACTTCTAGTGTTGAGAAATGAAGCCAACGCGAAGTGCAAAATCCTGCAGTTCCTCAAGTGTCCACTAGAGGCTGTCTGCAGGGCCTCAGGTGTGTGACGGGTGACATCACTCAGGCTTTGTCCATTAATATTTACAGTCTATGGTCACCATCATTGACCACAGGCTCAGGGCATTCAAGCCACTACACACATTTATTTGCATTAGATCTATGAGCAGCTTTAAACATCCCGATGTCACTGGATTTATTTTTTGGATCTAGTCTGTGTGCGTGATGAACTGTTCTGGAGCTTTTGGAGAGGTTAGAGGACAAACCTACACTTCAAAAATGATGGAAAAAGTGATGAAATGTTAAAATAAAGAAAAGTGGGAAATGACAACAAGCTGCTCTCCAGTGTTGAGTATGTACAGGAAGAGCAAACTAGTAAACTTTGGTTAACAGCTTCAACACGAGTGTTTTCCCAGTGCTCACAGTGTTTAACTCTGTTCAGACATTTTGTTTTTTGTGGTCTGGTTTTAGTGAAACCTAACCAGCTCATGTTTGAGCTCTTTTAGAGTCCATGCAAACGTCTGCTGAGCGTGTTTATTTGATTTTTTTTTTTTATCAGGGATGTGCTGCTTGTTTGTCTTTCCATTCCTCGTTGGATCTACAGCGTTTCTGACAAGAACAAAGATCTTCTCTCTGAGCTTCAACCAGGTGAGTTTTAATTTTCAATCTGTTGACTTTCTTTTTCATATCAGAACCAAAGAGAGAGATATTTGTCAGGAGCTTCACTTGTTTAACACTAACTCTCTGATGCAGAAACTTGGCTTCACACACCAGTTGAGCAACACACTGATGAAATGTCCGACAGGGAGCCAGGCAAAATGATGTGCTCCATACAGGTAAGCTGCGTGCGTGTGTGTGTGTGTGCGCAAAGAAGACTGAGAAACAAAAACTTGTTTGTTTCACTGAAAACAGATCAAGTGTTGATGTTCAAAAAGGAGGAATGATGATTTACCAGTGTGGCTGGGCTCAGCCTTAGAGAGAGGGTGAGGAGCTCGGAGTAGAGCCGCTGCTCCATTGCATCGAAAGGAGCCAGTTGAGGTGGTTTGGGCACCTGTTAAGGATGCCTCCTGGACGCCTCCCTTTAGAGGTTTTCTGGCCATGCCTAACTGGGAGACCCCGGGGCAGACCCAGACCCTTTCCGAATAGTCACAGTTCAGTATGCAGTACGTACTATTCAGTATGGAGTTTCAGTATACTGAACTTTCGTGGTCATTCAGTATGCAGATTTTGGGTCCACCTCAGTATACTGAACATTTCAGTATGGATACTAACTTCCGGGTTTCATGCAGTATGGATCGGATGCATCCTTTCAGGAAATGAATTGTATTTTACCACCCACAATGCTGTGCGGAATTAAACGTAAATCATCACTTCACATCTGCCTCCAAATCAAAAAAACCAGCATGGATTAATTGAATTAATTTTTAATCTAGAGTTAAAGTCCCGACTGAAATCGCTACTTTAAATTAACAACAGAAAATATAACAAATGTCTGCATTATTATAAAACCTTTCCCCCTCTATTTAAATAATGATTTCACTATTTAAATGTGTCTTTATTGGTTTATTTTACTTTATATTCTGTATATTACTGTCTTTCATTTGTACTTTCCTTTATGTACTGTATGTTATTTAGTTATTCAATCTGTCTTTTACTTGATTTACATTGTGATACTGTTTTTGTTTACCTGACTGTATATGAGCATTACTCTTCTTGAATAAATTTTTTTTTTTTTTTAAATCGGGTGAATGCGGCCAGTTCGGGTAACGTGGATGGATGGATGGATGTTTTACCACCAAAACTACTTTGCAAAACAGACCCTATACAGCAGAAACACAAACATGTTTTTTTTGGCTTAATGTTTAGATACGTCTTTTGGGAAAGAACAAAGTGGAGGTATTTGTGGGGAGATGGATGGTCAGGACTTTTATTCAGCCCCGGCCCCCCTCCCTATGATGACTTATTTTTCAAAAATATATTGATAACAGTCACGACAGTAGTGACTGTGCGTTAAGACTTATTCGAACCCAAACCTCATCTATGCCCTAAACCTAACCATGTGGTTTTTGTGTGTTGACCATTGACTTTATATAAAGATGGACGGCGTTATATACAGTGAAGCCAAACTATCAGTGCAGGCTGTTTTGTTGGCAGAGTTGGGAGTGAGACTGTATTTAAGACATATGCACATACAAAATATTGCTTACATACATGCTCTATCTTTATTTTTGGTACGTTATTTTGTCACCACAATACTGGACAATGTTAAAAAACATTGTTATCGTGCACATCAAGAACAAACTGCATATGTTTGTCTTTGTTCCCTCAGCTGACCTCCACAAACGGGGCCCTGTGCATCATCAACCCTCTCTACCTTTGCGAACATGGAGATGATTGGCTCACGCAGCCGCCACATTACAAACAAGTGCGACGCCTCAGCACCACCAGGACCTGGGCGGGGGCGGGGCTACGAAGTAAAAGAACAATTTCGTTGGACCAGGAGTCCTCTGCCGCCTATATGGAGAGTTCTGGTGAGAATGTGTTTCTTTGATACATGACCTGAGAGCTTATTAAAACACGTATATTCCTATTTTAGAGGGCTGGTCAGCAGAGTTGCAATTTGGGGGATACAATGCAATATGATGGACTTCAGTGCTGCACACATTGAGCTGCCTCACATCTAAACGCCCAGCTCATGAGTTCCAAAGCTCGTAAAAGTAAACCGCTCTTATTCACTTTTTGTCAAGAGTTAGTTGAGAAGCGTGCACAGACTGGAAAACTTGCTGTTACCTGATCCCATGTTCAAATCAGTCACAGAGGAATTTCCTTTACTGGTATCAGTATCAGAACATCTCTATTCATGATCCATGTTTTCCTTGTTCAGGTCCAATCAGAGCCAAGTCAGCGGATTTGCCAGATTGCCCACTAACCCCATCAACACCAGCAGCTCCGGCAGGTGTTGTTCTCAGAAGGTCCAGCAGAGATTCTGGCTGCAGCCTTCCTCACAGAGCGAGCACAGAGAGTCTCCCTTTTTCCACTCCCTCCACCCCAGGGGGTTCAAACCGCACATCATTTGAGTTGCAGCCCCATGGCAGCCCCGTGCCTCAGTCTCCTCACAGGGTGTCATGGATCGAAGATGGCGTCTGGCTGCCTCCACCCAGACCTTCCTCTTTGCTCCACCCACCGTCGCTGGAGCTCGACTCTCTGTCCATCAGCAGCATGGAGGAAGAGCAGGACTGCCAAACGCCCAGCCCCATCCCACATCACCAGTCGGCGCACTGGTTGGCTGACAAGGTCATAAATCGTCTCTCAGCGGTGGGTCAGGCTCTCGGTGGGCTGGTGAGTCAGAAGAAAAGACTGACCAATCGTGTGCAAGAGCTGAGCGAGCGGAAAGGCGCTGCGTTTTCAGAAGCTGTGAAAGGATTTGTGGAGACAACACTGAAGAGAGGGGTTTGTCCCACCGGGGTGATGGGGTCAGAGTTCTTACAGGAAGTGAGGTCATCTCTGACATCACTGAGGGAGACACTGTTAGATTACACAGAAATCCAGGCATTGTTGGACAGCATGACTGACTTCAATGACTCAGAGATAGGTGAGTCATGTGATTTGACCGTAGAAAACTATAATATACTCTGTAGATCAATATTGATTTACTCCTCCATTACCTTTTGTTCCCCCTCTAGACTCCCTGGTGGAGCTCTCTATCCACAAGGTGGCCCTGAAGCCCGTCTCTGCACACCTCTACTCCTGCATTCTCGCTTCTCGGACTGATGACCTCACTTTTGAGCGTCTCCAGAACAACTTGCGTGTGCTGGAAAAGAAAGAGATGGAGGAGCTTGGGGGATCGTCAGGGGTCGGAGTGCCCGACTCCCTCAGCCTGGAGCGGATCCAGCAGAGGTGGACGAGCATGCATGAGGTCTACTCCCCGAACAAGAAGGTCCAGATCCTGCTCAAAGTCTGCAAAAGCATCTATCACAGCATGAGTGCTAATTCTAACTCAGGTAGCCAGGCCTTTCTGTAAAATGATTTATACTTTGAAAGCTCCTTTCACGCATGCACTGCAGTGTCAGGGTGGCTGCGGGTGAGCTCACAAATCTCCAAATATGTTGACCTGAACTCTCCTCCCCTGCAGGTTCAGTGTTTGGAGCAGATGATTTCCTCCCCTGCCTGACGTGGGTGCTGCTCCGTAGCAACCTGGTCACCTTACAGATAGACACAGATTACATGATGGAGCTGCTGGACCCCACACAGCTGCAGGGAGAGGGTAAGGCAAATCAGATCCTAAAGCACAGACTGGCTGATTCATCAGTTGCCATCTTTGTTGATCGAGATTGGAAAACAATTATGTTTTTTGACTGAGCCTATTTACGAATTAATAATTCATAATTAGGCCTGTGGCTGACTGATGGGGGCATGATAGCTGTTTGTCAGGAAGCTCAAAATCTGCCTCAGCTCCACCTCTTCACCTGGTGTTAGTTGGACTTAAAGTTAGGTGGAGACAGGATTTCCAGCATGGAGACCGCCATCCAAAGCCCCCTGCAGTCACTAATGGGTGAAGTCCCTCAGGCTTCGTCCATGTTTATTTACAGGCTGCAGCTGTTTTCACATCTGCACTCCTGAAAA